TGCTGAACTAGAACTAGAAGAGAGAAAAGACGTTTACTGTATTATGGTTTAACGCCGGGTTATGAATGTCAGCTAGCATATGCAGTGTACTAGTCATTTGTTCACCTGACAAACTCCACCGTTTTGGGTTCATCACTCCAAACCCAGTGGCCTGGATGCGGCACGCTCACCTGAAAGGTACATTAATGTCAACCAGAACTTTAACGCAAGATGTGTACCTTTATGATAAATTGCAACTTTACAAATAGGTCACGTTGACACTTTAAATTAAAGTTAGCGGCACAAACAGGCCAATAACTGGAAACATTTGAATCTGTTATTTTACGTAATATTTCAGTATTGTTATAAATTCAATTTCAATTTGGCAACCTACGTTTTTCGTCTCTTCGGGATTTTTCGGCATTTCTGCGAACAAAACTTAGTTTGGCCAACTTTATGCTCCTTTCTTCTTCCGGGTTGCGATGTTAGGAACTGTATCCAGGCAACAGCCAATGGGATGGAGATGGACCCTGTGACGCGGTGTCACGATTGATTTTTATAATTGTTAATCCCATTGTTGAGTTTGTGGTCTTCAGCCACTCGGACATCCTTAATCTTGTATTATCGGAATCATACTTTGCTAATTTTGAGTATTGCTTCTAAATGTGATTTGAAGCTAATGACATCTGTCAAAAATCCCAGTTGTAAAACATGGTTGTGGATTTTCGTATGGTGTTAATACTTTCTGATCAGCCGATCCCAGTTTAGACGCTGCTGGGATTTACAGCATATTGCTAGTTTTATAATGGTTTGTTCATGAGGTTAAACAGGGAGCTGGACTTCTCAGAGATTGCGATAAAAACAGATAGCCTACAACTGTAATTACCTTCATCGCATGTTCCCAAAAGGTATAAATGTTTTTGAACTGCACCTATGATTAAATAGACTAACATTCTTTAAGAATACTTGTTGACTATTGAGATATACTCATAGATTTTTATTAATCTGCTATTGGTTTTTATAAAGTACCCCGTATTAATGCTATGATGATTCATTTAAGGCCACTTTTAGTATTCTAGGCTTATAAGAACTAATGTGTAAACTTGACCAACTTCAACCTATTTTTTTTCTTACTTTGATATTTGAATTTTATGACTTGCATCATGTTCTATGTGTCTGTGCCTATTTGCAGTTTAAGTGTCAGTAGCAGTTGTCAACTATCCAGCATGCATCAGTAAAGCCAGACATCTTTTTACACAATGTTTTATTTTGTTAGCCATTTAAAATGGTACAATTCTTTTAAAATTTAAAGTTCTCTTGGTATTTTATTCCCATGCACCCTCAATTTCCCCTGAAATGGAGCTCAATAAGAAAAAAAAAATGCCCAGGACTTTACAATAAAATGCCCCACATCTGCTTTTCTAAACTCTATTCCAAGCCAGTGTTCAGCTGCTCTTTAGAGTGATGAGGTGTACATGTTCAGTGAAGTAGTCCAGCCCCCAGTCTCGCTGTCTGTCTGTCATGGCATCCTCTGACTGCAGCAGCTCGATATCACAGCTGTTCCCTGAGGAAAGGAAATGCACAATTAAAGACTAAATTAATCTCCCATCTCAATATGTGCATATCTACCAGGTATCCAAGTTTCACTTCCTACAGTACAATAGTGCTCTTCAACACTTAACCATGATTGTATCCTCACCAAACAGACTGTGAATTTGTTCATCAGGCACCAAGAAGGGAGGACCTGGAATACAAATCAGTCACAGCTTTTCACCAAACGCAGGCCGCCTTCAAACATTTTTAAAATATAAATGATGAGATAGTGCATGAATCTTCAGACAGTCTGATGTTTAAGACACAACATGGACAGTTACCTTTATATAGTTCAGGATTGTACAGCAAAGTGGCCACTAGGTATCTGCAATCTTTGGCCATCAGAGAAGTCAGCAGAGAACTATACCTGTGGTATTGTAAGAGAATATTAATCATGAGGTGTATGGTCAAAATGTTATCAAACATATTTCTTAGAATAAAGTAAAACATAATTCAACATTTCCAGTGGGTGTAATTTCATATAAGGGTTCTTGGATGTCATTTATCAAACATTATATTGTCAAGACAGATGTGGACAGTGGTGGTGATTCTACAGGAAGAGAAAGTGGTGATCATAACTCACACCAAGAGCAAAACCTGAGCAGGCCTATGGACAAGACTTCACACCAGCAGCAAAAATAACATGAGATGGAAATCTTTTATGTGATTTTTGTGCTGTGTAATCTCGTCTTACTTTTCTCTGTCTCTCGGGTTGATGGCCACTAGAGATCCCCTGTCCCAAATTGCCCCAAACTGACCCCTGATGGAGCTGTAAAGTTAAGCAGAAGAAACGGCAAGTAAATAATTTAACCCCTTTTAAAAGGGATTAAGTACACATTTTACGTACCTGGAGAAATTAAACAGGTCACATTTATATAAGGAGATATTTTTCTCTGAGCTCTGTGGAACAAAGATGGTGTGGATTAACATTTTGTTCTATGTCTGTACATGCAACATTTAGTTTGAGCAAGTAATTCTCTGTGCTATAACGTTCTAATACTGAGAAACCTTTTCTTAGCGTATGTGTATTGGTAGCACTGTGTTTTTACTGTCAGCGCATGTGTATTGGTAGCACTGTGTTTTTACTGTCAGGGTTATGTGAGTATTCATAGAGGGGCGTCCCACCTAATTAATGTTTTAACTAAACTCTACTATTGCAATATTAGTATTTTTTTCCTTTAGTGTTTTAGTTCATTTAGTACAGCTCATATTACAATCATGGTTAGCCCTCAGTGTCAGATACATTCACTATAAAAGCCACCATGTTATCCCATGTGAATACTTTCACGGTGAAGTAGCAGTAGTGGACACTCTTGGCTAATCCAGCTGATACAGTTGTAGGAGCAGGAAGTGTAAACGCTAACATCAAATTGAATGTTGCATCATTTCCTGTGAATCCCCACTGCGCGTGTTAAAGCATAACACACACGGGATGTGCAGTGCATTTGGTAAGCACAAATAATCCGCATAGCTTGAATGTTTTAGTAGTCCTCTGAATAAACATGTAATGAATATACAGTTCACCTACCTTGTAAACCTTCATGCCAGGTATGGCAGGGACAGGCTCTTCACTGTAGGTCAAGTTGTTCTCCTCAAAGAACTGTTTTATAGCCTTCTCAGATATTTCCACCCCAACCACAGAATGGCCCATGTCTGCTAGCCTAAGAGAAAGGAATTTAGAGCAGGCTGTGGTTATCACTGAGAATATGTTTTAATTATAGGCTGTGCAAAGCTTGATATATCAGTGATAACTGAAAATGTTAGCACTGTGATCTCTCGTATAAGATATAAGCTTCTTCATACCACTTCATATCTACAGCTTTCCCACAGAGGGGGAAGAAGAAGCTAACCCCTGTTCGTCCGGCGAGAACTTTATGAATATTGTTCTCCAGCACCCTATTGAAAATAGAAAACACAACACTGTAAACAGCAAACCACCAGACATTCCTTTCTGTTTTTAATAGTGCAGGTTATATCATTAATCCCTTTATACTGTACGCCTTTATGAAAAACACACATCTGGATATCACCAACATGCAATCACAGTGTGATTTGGGTGTGAGGTGGCAAAGTTAAGGCTGAATTAGTTTAGTCAGTAGTTATTTGTAAATAACTGTTTGTGTACCATACCATACCATACCATACCAACTTTATTTATAAAGCACTAAAAACAACCAGAGTGGACCAAAGTGCTGTACATTGCAATAAAACAGTATAAATTATAAACCCACAAACAACAATATAAAATATAATCAATATAAAAAATGACTAAAATCAACACAAAAATAAAATATCAAAATGCCAGGGAAAATAAATGAGTTTTTAAAAGAGACTTAAAAACAGACGAGGTAGAGGCTTGTCTAATGGACAGCAGTAAATCATTCCAGAGTTTGGGACCAGCAACTGCGAAGGCTCGATGTGTAGCTTTTGTGACATTTTCACAAGCTGACCAGAGGAGGTAATGTGCATTTAAAGTTGATGTAATCTTATTAAATCACATATACATTTGGAAGATGTTTATTCTCCCTCATCCCACTGAGTAGGCAGATGAAACTAGGATCCTTACTTGTTTACATGAGGCTGATGGAAACCAATTTTGTCCTCCTGCCAGTTTTTCTCCCATTTTTCGAGTGTCCTCACCTGATCTGCCTGTGGTGCCAGCATGTTATGTTCACCTGACCCCAACTACAAGAACAACTAGCTGATAGATGGAGAGAAAGCAATGAACTGTGAGAATAACATTCTTACTTTTGGCTGTAGAGAAGGGGGAGAACACATTATACAGTCACACAAACACACGCAAAACAGCTACACAGTTAATACACGTGAAAATGGTGTAAAAAAGAAAAGCTGGCAGAAGACTGAGAATTCAGCCTTTAGAGAGCGAATAGCAAGTTTGTAGGGTTACAAAACCAGGATTCTCACTGCTGACCAAAGTACTCTGGTAGATCATTTCAGTAGAATCAGCCAGAAGATACAGAGCTGAGGTCAAAGGTCATGTACAAAGACCAAACGGTGCCTCCTAATGTGTAAACACATTGCAAATCTAAAGTTAAAGCTTCTGATCTGCATGATTTTCTCAAGAGTAACTGGTCCAGCTTCTTGAATAAAAGGCTTCGGCTTGCATAGCATGGAAGGCTTTCTTAATGTGAATAAATCACATTTTATTGCTTTAACATTACAAAGAATAGATTGCTGTAAATGTTTTGATATGGCGCCCAAGAGCATGTTATATTTCAGGGCTCCAGACTGAAAGAATTTATTTTGTGTTAATTATTTGAAATACCCTTACTATGCAATGTGCATAGCCTATATTTATAATGAAATTCAGGGAGAGGGAGACTTATGGAATACAATAAATAGGAAAATCAACTCTAGAAAAGGTTTCCACCTCTTTATGTAGTATGATTTTAGTGTAGCCTAGCAGTCAGCATGATGATAATGATAACTAATGATGATTAGGCTATTATTTTATTCATATATTATAACTTATAGTATAAGTATATAGTATAAGGGGGATGTAAAATCAGAAAGTTCACAGCGACACCAGGACTCTGATACACCACAGGAGGCTCAAGTAAAAAGTTTCTAATACAAAAAGAGTCTAAATAGACTCAAAATGCAAAAAGGGGGTTTCAGGGGTGACGCGTGTGTCGCGGACTCGGTGTGGATCGACACATTTGAGCCATGAGACGAGCGACAGGCCTGCGGATGAACGTTGCCACGACATTATCGCGGAGTTTGTTACGTCTGCCCACCATTTCTACTCGTTTGTGCATTATCTTAAATTAATTTAGTCTCAAAATGCGACTTGCAGTCTGGAGCCCTGTGTTTACAGTACATAACTATTTCAAAGTCAGATCCGGACTAGCAGCAGTCTGGCATAAAACCAGCCATAGTAGTTTGAAGACAACGTTAAAATCTGAATCCCGCTTTTTTGTGAGTCTTAACCAAAGCGTTGCCTACCTCTTCTTACAGATATTTGTTGGTCAACACGCCAATAGCAACGTTGACCATATGATCGATATATAACAATCGACTGCCTGGGGATTTATTGAACTGAATTAGCGCTGTCAGGCGACCCACTAGTTCCGGAACTATGCGATGGTTTTACAATCGTACTTGGCGAAAGCGTCAGGATTTCGTAGGCGACCGCTGCCTGACAAACAATACTCAGGGATAGAAACTCTCAGGTCTGGTTTGGGAGGAGCCTAGTGTTGCATTCACGTTACGTGGGAAATATTGGAGATAGAAACATCCTACTTTTACGTGGCCTGGTATAACAGTCATACCTTCATGGAGGTGATAATGAGACTATTAGGGAGGTGATGAATCAACTTTATGATAATTTTGGTTAAACTGCAGCGGTGTACTGAGAGGTGTGTCTGTTGTTTAATTATGAGGCGAGTTTCTATTGTTTTATTCACCTTGTTTATATCAAAGCTGGTAAGCTAAATAAAAATATCCATTTAAACAGCAGAACAAAACAATTCTCTAAAAGGATCATACCATTGAATCAACACCTCTCTAAAACTGAACATTACTGCCTTTATGGAGGAGGATTTATTGCAGAACTGTTGAGTTATACGTACTTCATTACCTAAACACTACTTAAGTGTACCTGATAAATTGAACACTGGGTGTATAAACATGTGACTACTGATAACCTCAGCCAGCAGAAAAAGTGTATCCACCCGCTTAAACTGGTGTATATCACAAGAAATTTTCTGCAGAATAAGACCAAAAAAGTAAAATAAAGTTATAGGGCTCACCATGGGGACTAGCAAAGGTCCATGAAGGGGTCCTTATGATTTCCCAATGCAGGTAAATTGAATTTTAGACTTTACTGAATAATGCATGTAGTCTTCTCCACACAGCCTGTGTAAGCTCAAGTTACCCACTTCTCATATTGGCTGCATTATTTATGGTATACTAGATATATTTTATATTTGGTCTCTTACCACATTTTCAATTCTGATCTTATTAAGATAATGAATTACAGTAAGAAATACAGTCAAATCGAATTGATTTAGAATAATAACCCATATAGTTTGAACATGCCAAAATTAAGCTGGACATCAAAACTAAAGCCTGGACAAATGAAGATGTTACAGCTTTAATATTCATTTTTGAACTTATGAACAGCTTTATTACATAAAATCTGCTGTCCACTTGGCTTCATCAGGTGGAGTTGACTTCAGTGTCATTGAGAACAGTAGGCTGTCTTTGCAGAGTGCTGTAGTGAAGCTGAAGCAGCTAATCAGCTAATTGATTAGATGAGCCACAGAAAATTAAGTATTTTAATAATCAGCTAAGAGGTAATTTTATGCGTAATTTATTTATTCTTACAGGCTGCTGTAATAATAATAAGGAGAAGAAGAAACGTGTAGCCTTCGTTTCAGTTGTCAGGGTTACTATGATTTAGTCAGTTAATTCATCTTCCTAAAAACTGTACATTTTTTTTAATGTAGTCCTTGTCAGACTGGGACAGCTGTCTCTGATCCTCAGAAAGCCTCTGACGCCCGGTCTTTAGTCTTGCTTGCCCTGTCTGCCTCTCTCCACACTTGGTTCGGTTCAGTGCTGCGCCAGAGCCAAAAGACGGATCCAGAGAAAAGATATTCTACCCAAGCAAGACAAAAATAGAAGCAACCAAATGAAGGAGAATTACTTTATTTGAACGCAAAGTGGCGCAAGAGTCTCAGACACCGGCTTCACTCTGGCGCCGAGGCGCTGTCACTCCCAGCTTTGTCCTGTGCCCCTTTAAATGCGCAGGGATTGACAGCTGCACAGCACCTGGAATACATTTGTTTCGTCAGCACAAGAGGTTATATAAAGTATACGACAAAATCGTGTTGCTGGTGGTGTGGACTATTTTAATCAAATTTTCTCTTGGGCCTCCCCAAGCCGGACAGATCCTCTTATGCGGAGCGTGTGCATGTCCGCTGCCAAAATAAAGAAACTTGAGTAGCAGCTTACTCCTATCACCGCTAGTCTGTAACAGTCAGGTCTTCTCTTAAAGGATTCAACTGATAAAACAACTCAATTCTCTTTGATGAGTCTATGCAAAGTCACAAATGCCCACTGGAGGCCCAGGTTCTACAGCTAGCAGCCCGCCGCCTGTTTGAAACCATACTCAAAGGGGACAAGACTGCTGTACTCAGCCATGACAAACAGTGGACAGTACTGAAATGGGCCTTGAGAAATGTGACAATTCGTGTGCGTAATTCGGTGTTTCCAAAGCGCTCCAGCTGCACGGGGTCCCTCCCAGATGTGTGTGTTTTTCTTTACGGTGCTGTGAAGACGTCGGGAGCCTGGGAACCAATCACCACCGCCCGGGGGCGGGTCGTGTGTGAACTGTTGTGGATATGGAAAATGGACAATTTAACAGGCACATTCATCATTCATATCCGGATGGGGAGTCCTACGCTTGCACGCTGAATCTATTCGCAAATGCACGGCCGTGGTGTGCACCCCGGTAAGGGCGAGCTCTCTGTCGGGGAGAAGTCGGAGCGCAGCAGGGCCAACTGGGTGATTTCTACCTTCTATGTTTACTGTAGATGCATCTGAGTAATCATGGATAAAACAATGTTTCTGCTGAGACCATGAATTACGTTTTCTGTATTCAAGGTTTTCCTCATTTGGCTCTTGCGGACCTCATCCTCTTGTCTAAAGGCATATCAAACACCACTGCAAGCTCGTTTTCACACAAATACAACGAAGCGCTTCTTTGTCCACTGTTATATGGCAAAGGCACAGGTTGTGATGGTGATTGTGGATGTGGATATATTTCTGTAAAGTGCGTTCTTCACCTTAAAGTAGCCGTAATGCTGTCAGGTCCCGCTGTTTGTATTTCTCTCGGCAGCGCACTTTGGTCACTCACGCTGCTTAATTGAATGTTGAGATGTCAAGTGTTGGAGGTTTGAGGCAGCTCTCACGGTCTTGTACCGTACAACCTAAAAGACCTTTTGTTATAGCCTACCCGTAGCCATTGTACATAGATAAAATGGTGCCAGATGGTCGACAAGTTAAACTCACTGTACAGTAAGTGCAGATGGGGCACTTTATTTCACCATTGGATTATCACCACAGTCTTTGTTTGAAAGAGTCTTTTTTGGGTAAATCCAGGTGGCTGAGGGAACAGCAGGGCGTAATGATGTGTGGACCACGGTGCTCTGACTGAGAGGTGAGCATGCTGGATAATAAAGGAGAGCCCGTCATATCGGCTGCTCAGAGATCTGTGAAATTTGAGGACAAGCACGGGGGTGGGGGCGGGGGACTCCGCCTGTACATTATTTCTTTGGATAGTGAATATGTTGGTGCTATATCAGTATGTTGTAACTTAATCATGTTGTAGGACTCCTAAATCGAGAGCGGGGTTGCCCCACGGCGGAGAAGTTGGTGTTTTGAGCCTCAACAGCTGGTGTCAAAGGGGGACTGAGCTGTAGCCAACCCCGCTAGAGCAGGACCCTCAGCACTTCTGTGCGTAACTGTGCTGATTGCGCTTCGGGGGACAGGAGACACTGAACCTCCCTTCTCAGAACTGGATGAACCTGCTACTGGCACCAGCAACGGATCTCAGTGTCATTATGTGACTGGTAGGCTGAATAGCTGGTGGAATTTTCTGACAGACTGCCGCGCGTATTAGACTGAGTGGATGCCTTTAGAGACCTTAATGGCAATTCTCATGCCATTGTAGATGGACAAGTTATGTTCTGCGTGTGTTCTAAGTCCCAAGCCCACTATCTGAGCTTTGTGGGGTGGGGGGCTGCACACAAGTTGAGATTTAGCAGATGATCTGCTTCTCTTACTGGACAGATGGGCTGCTTGTTGCACGTTACTGCTACCATCCAAGATTATTAAATAATGATGCCAGAGTTCAGCTGCCAGATTGTTTCTGCATGCAAAATATCCAGCAGCACTATCAAAATCATAATTCTAAAGTACCCTGATTGTCAAGTCTCAACATATTTTACAAACATTTACAAACCAGGCTTTTATAGGCTGCTGATGAAGACAGTGACAGTAGATGGTGCAGCCACATACTTCTCTCTATTCTGTAATTTGAAATTTCTTGAGCTGTAAGGGATTTCTATTTACATAACTGTTTTCAAACATCTACATAACAGCTTAGTTTTAGTATAAATATGCCACAGGGCTATATCTTTTTAAAGCACTCAAAATAAAAAGTAATCTGGCTTCTGTTTGTCTTGCATTCAAGATATATTGGCTAATGGCTCAGGAAAGCTGAAAATTACCTGCTTTGACATCCTACTAAGTGCTCCATGTATTAACGATTCCCAGAGAAACAAACAGTACTGCTGCTGTTCATTGCGGAAATTGATTACACCTCCCTAGTTATGTTTTGATGGAAAAATATGGTGACTTCAGTGATTCCAAATAAAATGCTGTAATTGGCTCAGGAGATAGAGCGGTCATCCCCCAACCGGAAGGTGGGCAGTTTGATTCCTGTTCTTCCCAGTCCACATGTCATTGTCCTTGGGCAAGACAATGAACCCCAAGTTGCTTCCAATGGCCAGAGCAGCAACTTGCACGAACAGTGCTGCCATGGGTGTGTGTGTGAGTTGGTGCTGCAGATGGCTTCCTCAGTTCTGTACTGGAGACCAGTTCCTTGTGTGTAACATACATAGCCAATAAAAGTGATTGTCAATTATCATGTGTACACAGAAAGGCTGGAGGGGAGGGCGGCTCCTGATGGCACATTGTTTATGGATTGCATCCGATTTATGAAATGACACTATTGTAATGGCAACGCCATAGTCTTAATGGGATTTTGCATTCATGATGGCTTTTTAATACTCTCCCTGGTGATTAAGAGAAACACATTGTTTCTTGTGGAAGCACTGGCCACTACAGAGGTGTATTCATAATCTAGAAGTGGTGGGCATTTCCATAATCAAGGCATTCATTAGAGAGGCTGAGAATATTAGAGTGCACCCTTTAAATGCTAATAACTCTCAGTGATTATTCTATGCAATTGCAGTGTTAATACTGGTATACTCTAGTTTAGCACTAGGTTTATAAATAACACAATAAAGAGGAAGAGATTTAACATCTTTCCTTTGCAAGGTTGGGAATCCTTTCAAAACATAATCTGCAAAACTACTACTTTAATCTCAAATGTCAAGGACCCTCTACT